CTACTTGGTTGGTTTGGCTATTGATACTTGTATATGCTTCATGAAGTTCTCATGCTGATTTTTTAGCTCCATTAGATCATATATGTTCCCCTCTAAACTGTTTATTGTAGTTAGCAGCTCCTCTAACCTTTTATCAAGGTCCTTAGCTTTTTTGCATTGGATTAGAACATGCTTCTTTACTTCAGCATAGTTTTTTATTGCCCATCTTCTGAAGCCTACTTCTGTCAGTTCTTCTTCATCCAGCTCTGTGTCCTTGATGGAGAGTTGTTGCAATCATTTGGTGAAGTGGCACTCTGTCTTTTTGGGTTTTCAGCATTTTTTCTGTTGTTGATTCTTTCTCATCTCTGTGTTTGTCTAGTTTTGATCTTTAAGAGTACTGCCCCTTGAATGAAATTTTGTGGCAGTTTTTTGTTGTTGATGCTGCTGTTGTTGGTTTTTGTTTGTTTTTCTTTGAATGGTCAGATCCTACTTTTATAGGGCTGCTGCAGTTTGCTGGAGGTTCACTTCAAGCCCTATTCATCTGATTCACTCTCACACCTGGAAATGTCACTCAGGGAGGCTGGAGTACAGAAAAGATGGGTGCCTGTTCCTTCTGCTGGGCCCTGGGGGCACCATCCTGATGCCAGTAAGATTGTTCCTGTATAGGATGTCTAACAACCCTGTTGGAGGGTCTCACCCCTGTTGAGTGGCACATGGAACAGGACCTGTTTAACAAAACACTTTGTCCCTTGGTGGAAGGGGCGTGCTTCGCTGAGGGGAAGTCCACTTGTCTGGGCTGCCTGGATTCCTCAGAACTACCAGGAGGAAAGGCTAAGTCTGCTGGTCTGCAGAGACTGCTGTCACCCCTCTCTGTAGGGGCTCAGGCCCGGGGAGATCCAGGTTCTGTCCTTGAGCCTCTGGCTGGAGTTGCTGGAGTTCCTGCAGAGAGCCCCACCCAGTGAGGAAGGATGGGTCAGGGTCAGGCTTGAAGAGGCACTCTGGCTGAAGTCTGCCACAGCCAGTGTGTTGGGTTGTCAGGGCACATCTTGGGACCAAGCCATGCAGTGGACCTGACTCCAGAAGGGGAAAATGCAGCCTGGAGCTATAGAGGTAGATGCTGCCCTTCCCTCACCCAGGTAGCTTAGCATGTTGGGCAGGTATGAGTCGCAGTGCTGGCTGCTGCCCCTCCACCAAGGAGCTCAAATGGCTTAGACAGCAGGAAGCTGCAGTTGTGGTTCTGGTCGCTCCTCCCTGCAGGTGCTCCATAGGCTTAAGCAGATTCCAGCTGAGAGGCTGTTGAGAATCTGTGCAGCCCCAGGGTTGGGATGCTAAGCCCCAGTGGCGTGAGTTTAAAAGTGGGATTTTCCAATCCATGGTTGCCCAGTTCTGTGGAAAAAGCATGGTTTTCCTGGCTGGGTAGCATGCTCAGTCACCACCTCCTTGGGTTGGTGGGAGGGGGCTCTCCTGCCCCGTGTGGCTCTCAGGTGGCTGCCACACCACACTGTTATTACTTCTTCTCTGTGGATCATGCCAGCCTCCTAGTCAATTCCAATGGGAGAACCTGGATATCTTGGTTGTCGGTGAAGGACTCAAACACTTATTATGGTTCTTTTTGATGGGAGTCTCTGAACACTGCTGTTTCTAGTCAGCCATCTTGGCCCCGCCCCTGTGTGTCTGTTTTGGTGCCAGTACCATGTTGTTTTGATGACTCTAGGCTTATAATATAGTTTGAAATTGGATAATGTGAAGCCTTTGACTTTGTTCTTTTTGTTAAGGATTGCTTTGGCTATTTGAACTCTTACTTAGTTCCATATGAATTTTAGAATAGTTGTTTTCTAATACTGTGAAAAATGACATTGGTAGTTTGATAGGAATAGTATTGAATCTCTAGATTGCTTTGGGCAGTATGACCGTTTTAATGATGTTGATTCTTCTATGAGCATGGAATGCTTTTCCAGTTGTTTGTGTTGTCTGTAATTTTTTCAACAGTGTTTTATAGTTCCCCTTGTAGAGATCTTTAATTTCGTCGGTTAGATCTATTCCTGGGTATTTGTTTTTTTCTTTGTGTGCATGGCTATTATAAAAGGTAGTATGTTCTTGATTTGGCTCTCAGCTTGAATGTTATTGGTATTTAGAAATGCTATAGATTTTTGTACTTTGATTTTGTATCTTGAAACTTTACTGGAGTTCCTTATCAGTTTTAGGAGCCCTTTTGGCACAGTCTTTCCAAGTGTAGAATCATATCAACAGAGATGATATTACTTTCTTTTTTTCCTCTTTGGATGCCCTTTATTTCATTCTCTTAGCTGATTTGTCTGGCTAGTACTTCCATTACTATATTGAATAGAAGTGATGAGAGTGGGCATTCTTGTCTTGTTCTTATTTTTAAGGAAAATGCCTCTAGCTTTTGCCTGGTCAGTTTGTTGACTGTGGGTTTCTCATAGATAACTCTAATTATTTCAATACTATTTCTATCAATATACCAATGTCATTTTTCACAGAATTAGAAAAAATTATGGAACTAAGTAAGAGTCCAAATAGCCAAAGGTAGCTCTCATTATTTTGAGGTCTTCAGTGGTTAGTTCATTGAGGGTTTTTAAAAAATCATAAAGGGATGTTAAATTTTATCAAAAGCTTATCTCATATCTATTGAAATGGTGATTTATTTATTTTTATTTTTGGAGATACAGAATCCCGCCCTATCTCCCAGGCTGGAGTGCTCACTGCAACCTCCGCCTCCCGGGTTCAAGAGATTCTCATGCCTCAGCCTCTTGAGTACCTGTGACTACAGGCATGTGCCACCAACACCCAGTTAATTTTTGTATTTTTAGTAGAGACAGGGTTTCACCATGTTGGCCAAGCTGGTCTCAAACTCCTGGCCTCAGGTGATCTGCACACCTTGGCCTTCCAAAGTGCTGAGATTACAGGTGTGAGCCACTGTGCCCAGCTTTTTAAATATTAATTCTATGTGGTGAATTGTATTTATTGATTTCCATACATTAGTGCAACCTTACTTTCCAGGAATAAAGCCTAGTTGATTGTGGTAAATTGACTTTGGGTGTACTGCTAGATTTTGTTTGCTGTTATTTTGTTGAGGATTTTTGTGTCCACGTTCATCAGAGATATTGTCCTGTAGTTTTCTTTGTTCATTGTGTCTTTGCCAGGGTTTGGTAACAGAATGATGTTGGCCTCATAGAATGAGAGGAGAGGATTTCCTTTTCCTTATTTTTTGGAATCATTTCAGTAGAGTTGATACCAGCTCTTCCTTATACTTCTGGTATAATTCAGTTGTGAATCCATCTTGTCCAGGGCTTTTTTTATGGTTGGTAGGTTTTTTATTACTGATTCAATATCAGAACTTGGTACTGGTTTGTTCAGGGTTTCAATTTCTTCCTGATTCAATCTTTGGAGATTGTGTGTTTCTAGGAATTTATCCATTTTCTCTGGATTTTCTACATTATGTGCATATGAAAGATGTGTGTGTTCTGTGGTTGGTGGGTGGTGGAGTTCTGTAGATGTCTGTTAGGTCTAATTGGTCTATTCTGTAGATGCATATTAGGTCTAGTTGACCATGTGGAATTGATGTCCAAAATTTCTTTGTTAATTTTCAACCTCAGTGATGTAATGATGTCCATGGAGTGTTGAAGTACCCCACTGTTATGTCACTAATTTTTTTTCTCAGGTCTAGAAGTACTTGGTTTTATGAATCTTGGTGCTCCAAAGTTTGGTGGATAGGTGTTTAGCATAGTTAAGTATTCTTGTTAAATTGAACCCTTTATCAGTATGTGGTATATCCTTGTCATTTTGTATGTTTTTTGTCTTAATGTCCTCATTTGTTAAACGAGAGAGAATGCCAGGTGCAGTTGCTGGTGTTATCGCAGCATGTTGAGAGTCTGAAGCTGTAGGATTCCTTGGGACCAGGAATCCTTGACCAGCCTAGGTGACTTAGCAAGATCCTGTCTGTAAAATAGTTTAAAAAGTTATTGTGATGTGATGGTGCCCTCCTGTAGTCATAGCCACTTGGGGAAGTGACTAATTGGTCTATGACTAAATGACTGCTTTAGGCCAGGAATTCAAGGTTCCAGTGAGCTATGATTGCACTCTGGCCTGGTGACAGTGCAAGACCTTGTCTGTAAGACAAAGATATTTTAAATTATTTTGTAATTAGTTAATAGATTTCTATTTCTCTTAGCTTCACTTGGATATTAATATGTTAGTTAATAGATTTCTACTTCTTTAGATTCACTTTCATTTTGGTCCTTTGATTGGGCCTTGTTTTTGGTTACTTTGATGCCTTGTGATTTTGTTGGCATTTTGATCAATTAAGAGACAGCTACCTATTCCATCATTTATGGAATGAATTTGTATATTGGAAAACTGATACCCATTAGGCATTCTAGTCATTCTGGGAGATTCTTCGAACTGTTGTCAGGATGTGTCTTTTCTGGACTACGTGTGTGTATTTTCCTATTAAAAAGATTTGCATTTTTTTCTCTTAAGAGCCTTTAATCTCTCCCTTTGGCGAGTGTCTCTCTGTTGTTGTAACAAGTATTCATCTTTGTTCTCTGTTGACCTGACATGTCATTTCAACTTTATCACCATTTTCTTCAGCATCACATATTAAAGGAAGCAATGACCAGTCTTTAGATAGCCCCAGAACAACCCAGAACTTTAGACATATGTTTCACTCCTTTTTCTTTTTTTTTCCTGAGGGCAAAACAGATTGTGAAAAGTTTTTGTGTAACTGCATTGTGCTATGGTGCACAAATACAACAAACTTTCTTTCTTCTAAGTGCGACCATTCTTGGCTTTGAGTTCACCTAGGTGCTGCAAACTCAACTGGCTTTAGTTACTCTGCTGTATTTAAGTTAACATATCAATTGAGAAAACAAAGGGGCCTCAAGTTTTTGATTCAACTATCATGGTGTTCTCAACTTGGTATAATTTTGTACATTAGATTTATAAAGGATTTTCACCTAAATTTAGATTTTGGAATTTTCAAAACTTTTGGTATCTTTCAGATGTGTTTTCTCATGATACTCAAGACTTCTTGAGAAAGAAGCACATAGAAGCATCTTTCCAAAAAGTGATGTTAGATGGATATGGGAGCTGTGGCCTTCAGAATTTACACTTAAGGAAAGAGTGTGAAAGTGATGGTAAGTGTGAAGGTCACAACAGCTATTATGATGGACATACAAAACGTAGGACAACTACCTGTAACAAAAACATCAGTGTACAAGAGGTGAAAAACATGAAAAAACTCAATCCATGTCAGTTGCTTTATCTAAACCATGTGTTTCTATAACTAAATGTCAACATCAGTTTTTGAAACATACCTTTTCTTTGAAAGGAAATTTGGAAAATCTGAATAGTGACTTAGTCCATGTTTCAAATAATCATATGAATCAATTAAAATATAGAACCGGATTCAATTTGCAGTCAAATAATTTTGAAAAGGAGAGATTTAAAAATGAAGAGGTGATTTCTAAATATGATGAATTTGATGGGTCCTTTGTTAAAAGTTTGTTTCACCAACAAATAACACCTTGTTCTGCCCATGATCAATATAGAAAGGTCTTCATTCATTCATGATTGCTTAATCAATATCAGGGAATAGATAATTTGAGAAAACCTCACACATATAATAAAACTTTGACAGCCTTTAAACAGGACTCTACCATGAATAATTACCAGAATATTTGTCTTGCAGAGAATAATCAATACAATAAATCTGATGCAACAATAAGCCGAGGCATAAGCCCTAGAAGACATCAGAAAACTCATTTCCTACAGAACCATTACAAATGTGAAAAATGTGAGAAAGTCTTTCATGAATGTACCAACCATATCCATCAAAGTATCCATGTTCAGGAGAAGTCTGCCAAATGTAATAAGTGTGTAGCAACTTTTATCCAGTCATCAAACCATACTCAGCCTCAGAGAATCCACATTGGAGAAAAGTCACACAAATATAATAATGGTGAGAAAATCCTTAGTAAATTCTCAAGTCTAAGAAAACATAAGATAATCCATGATGAAGAGAAACCTTACAAATGTAAAGAATGTAGCAAAGCCTTTAACCATATTTCACACCTTACTCAACATCAAAGAATTCATAGTGGAGAGAAACCCTACAAATGTAAAGAATGTGGCAAAGCCTTCAATTCTAGTTCATATTTTACAAGACATCAGCGAATTCACACTGGAGAAAAACTTTACAAATGCAAAGCATGTAGCAAATGTTTTACTCACTCTTCAAATCTTCTTGTGCATCAGAGAATTCATACAGGAGAGAAACCTTACAAATGTAAAGAATGTGGTAAATCATTTAAAGAGTCTTCAGCCCTTGCTCAACACAAGAGAATTCATACTGGAGAGAAACCCTACAAATGTAAAGAATGCAGCAAAGCCTTTAACTGTAGGTCTTACCTAACTAAACATCAGAGAATTCATACAGGAGAAAAACTTTACACATGTAAATCATGTAGCAAATCTTTTTCCCGTTCCTCAAGTCTTATTGTCCACCAGAGAATTCATACTGGAGAAAAACCATATAAATGCAAGGAATGTGGCAAAGCCTTTAATTGCAGTTCACGCCTTACTCAACATCAAAGAATTCACACTGGAGAGAAACCCTACGTATGTAAAGAATGTGGCAAAGCCTTTAACTGTAGTTCATCGCTTACTAAACATCAGAGAATTCATACTGGAGTAAAACTTTACAAATGTAAAGCATGTAGCAAATCTTTCTCTCGTTCCTCACGTCTTGTTGCACATCAGATAATTCATACTGGAATGAAACCATATATATGTAAGGATTGTGGCATGTCCTTTAACCGGTCTTCAAACCTTAGACGACATCAGATGATTCATACTGGAGAGAAACCTTACAAATGTAAAAAATGTGGCAAATTATTTAATCGATGCTCAACTCTTACTCGACATAAGAGAATTCATACTAGAGAATCTCTGTAGTTGTAATAAATGCGGAAAGAGTTTTATCTAAAATGGAGAACTTAAGAATCACCATAGAGTTTATAAGAAAACAGACTTTACAGATTAAATTCTTATGCAGTCAGCACATTATTTGTATTGAAAACATTTGAGATTTGTATAAAGCAAACAATAATTCAATTCTCAAATTAGTTGTTATACCTTAATGTCTAGTGTTTATGTAAAAACATATAGTCTATTTTTTCTGCATCAGAGCTGTGAGAGGTCCTTCTATGGTAGATGAACATCATTAACATCAATTTATTTTCATGTAAGTTTAATGGCAAATGTAAAATGCACGAAGAAAATCTAAATAAAGATGCTTTTTGTGTTTGGATTGTAAAACAGTAATGTGTGTAAGCATAAGTACGTATGTAGGGCATTATTAAGTGGAATATCCTGAAATTATTTATTACATCAGTTGTTCCTTAAGTAGAAAAAAACTGATTGGTTATTTAAAATCCTGACATACCTCTGTAGTACAATATAGTAGTAATTTTGAATATTATTTGACATGTTAAAAATAAAAACATCTTCACAGATATCAGAGAAAAGTGAAAACTCATATCTGAAAGATCATAAATATACTTAATATAAATTTTTCAGAGGACTTAAACTTCCAATAATATTGATAATATTCTCATAGTAACTATATTGTATTCTTTCTGTTACTATATTCCTGCTTTTTGTAGCTACTGGTGTACTATGACAGTTATAATAAAGATTATATGGGAGTATTCTTAAAATCTATACTTTTAAAATCCTGAATCACTGTTTATGAAATTTTATTAAATATTTTTCTTTGCATATGCCCTTTTTCAGTGCAATTGAACATGTAGAGATTTTTCTTGGCCTTAACTTGCATTGAATGGAATATACAGATGTATCATGATAGAAAAAGATGTTATACAGGCAGAAATGCATGTGTGTGTACCTATCTGCAAATAGAAAAGAAAATCACGGATCACAACAGGAAATGTGAGAACTGTTGACTTACTACCAAACTAGAAACCTCACAGATTCTCAAAGGAAAGTTAGTTTCTCTGTTGTACACTGAATTTTTCCCTCAAAAATCTAATGTCCTCTGGGTTCAGATCATCCCATACAAACCCTTTTTTCTTGCCTATGATTTATGTAAGAATAATTATATGATTTTTTAATAATTGTTGGCCAGGTACAGTGGCTCATACCAGTAATGCCAGCATTTTGGGAGGCTGAGTGGGTAGATTACCTGAGGTTGGGAGTTTGAGATCAGCCTCGCCAACATGGTGAAACCTCATCTCTCTACTAAAAATACAAAAAGTAGCTGGGTGTGGTGGTGCACATCTGTAATCCCAGCTACTGAGGAGGCTGAGGAAGGAGAATTACTTGAACTTGGGAGGCAGAAGTTGCAGTGAGCCAAGATCACACCACTGCACTCCAGCCTGAGTGATAGAGTGAGACTCCATGTCAAAAACAAAAACAAAAACAAAATTAATGGTGCTTAGATATTAATCTGAAGACATAAGTAACTCTACATTGATCTATTTAGTTACAATACAAAATTCTGACCATGTAGTTGAAAAGTAGTGTGAAAGATGAATAAAAAATCTTGAAAACAACCAGGACAAAGCAACAAATTACATAAATGGAGAAATAATATAAGTGCAGTATTAATATATCATAAAAAGTAATAGTTGTAAATGACAATGGAATTACATTTTTTAAGTTCAGATAGGAAAACCTCGTATCAATACAAGATTCTGTATTTAGCAGAATTCCTTAAAAACTGAAATTAATCCACAGTGAGATATCACACACTTGTGAAAATAGTAAAAAAATTGAAATAATGTGAATACCAAGTGCTCTTTAGGATTTGGAGCAACTCAAATTAGGAATACAAAATGACATAGTGACTTTGGAAAACAGTTTAACCATTTTTTAAATAAAGTTAGTCATAAACTTATTATTTGAACCAGATGTCCCAACCCTAGGCATTTATTATACAAAACTGAAAACTAGTGATTAACACCTGTTTGTGGATATTTGTTGCCACTATATTCATATTTGCAAAACGCTGGAAATAAATCTTAAGTCCCTCAGTAGGTGAATGGATAATAAACTGTGATACATCTATATAAAAGAATTGTGTTTTTAATAAAAAGGAACAAACTATTGATCTCCACTACTACATGTATGAATCTTAAATACATTTCTCTAAATTAAGACTATTGATCAACAAGGCTATATATTATATGATTCTATTATATGACATTGCATAAAATATTAGAGGGATGGAAAATTATTGGTTGTCAAAGAATGGGAGGAAAATAGGTATTGATTACAAAGGGGCAACAACAAGAAAAAATTTGGAGGATGATTAAACAGTTTAGTGTGATACTGTGGAAGTAGATAGTAACTACACAATTGTCCAAACCCAATAAACTGTACACCACAAAGAGTAAATTTTACTTAATGCAAATTAAAAAAAATTAACCAGAATGCTGGGGAAATACATATGTAATGCACACAGTGACAGATGAATCTCATTGTATTACAAATTATCTGTCATCTGGCCGGGCATGGTGGCTCACACCTGTAATCCTAGCACTTTGGAAGGCTGAGGTGGCACGATCATTTGAGGTCAGGAGTTTGAGGCCAGCCTGTCCAACATGGTAACATCTTGTCTCCACTGAAAATACAAAAATTAGCTGGGTGTAGTGGTGCACACCTGTAATCCCAGCTACTCAGGAGGCTAAAGCAGGAGAATTGCTTGAACCCAGGAGATGAAGGTTGCAGTGAGCCAAGTTTGCGCCACTGCACTCCAGCCTGGGCAACAGAGTGAGATTCTGTCTAAAAACAGACAAATTATCTGTCATCTACCTATAGACATAACCCTTCTGAAGAGGATGGGGATAAAAGTTCCAGATCTAAGTCACTTTGAAAACTATTTTGATTTAATGCTGTAAGACTACACAAACATTGTATTATACTGAGTAATATTTTCCCACAAGGATATTAATTAGCTATTTTGAAACTATTTTACGTTATTATATAATATATGGAGGCTGTTTTCCGTGTAGTTCACAAAAGTTAAAGGGTTAATGCTAGAATGAATCATGTGGTCCTAGCCTAAAGTTGGAAGCATCAGAATGAACCCATGTCTAATATATCTGAATGAATGGATTGATGGATGGATGGGTGGGTAGATAGGTAAGTAGATAGATAGATAGATAGATAGATAGATAGATAGATAGATGAAACCATGTCTAACATATCTGGATGCATGGATGGATGGATGGACAGATAGATACATAGATAGATAGATAGATGATTGATAGAATATTCAGAGACAGATAAGAGCTTTAAACTCTTGAGTGCCAAGAAGCAGTGACATCTAGTATCAATGAATGTACCTAGGTCTACTGTCTTGGTTTCTAAACACCTTTCATTAAAAGGAACCTAGGCTACATGTGAAAATGGATAATTCTAGGGCTGACATTGGAAAATACAAGTTGACCTAGAGTATCTTTTAAAGCCACAAAGAAAAAGTACTAAATAAAATTGTTGGACTTCTCAAAGGGAGTCAACCTGAAAGACCTCCCAGTGGTCCAAACTGTAACAATATGAGCAACAAATAATGATAGCTTTGGATTATGGCCCAGAGAATAAAGTAATATTCACACATCTCTACTGACTTAAAAGAGATTAAATACATAAGGAAAGAAGGAAGAAAATCTTACGGTATTCAAAATACAAATCAATGTAATTGCATAATGCAAAATAAATCAACACTAGAACATCACAGTAATAATTACTGTAGGCAAGATTCCCTGAGGAATTTAAACATTTCAGGAAAAACTTAAACACTGAAGAGTGTATTTGGGCCAGTTGCGATGGTGCATGCCTATAATTCCAGCACTTTGGGAGGCTGAGGCGGGTGGGTCACCTGAGGTCAGGAGTTTGAGACCAGCCTGGCTAACATGGTGAAACCCCGTCTCTACTAAAAATACAAAAATTAGCCAGGCATGGCAGCAGGTGCCTGTAATCCCAGCTAGTTGGGAGGCTGAGGCAGTAGAATCGCTTGAACCTGGGAGGTGAAGGTTGCCGTGAGCTGAGATCGCCCCATTACACTCCAGCCCAGGTGACAAGAGCAGAACTCTGTATCAAAAAAAAAGAAGAAAAGTGTATTTGCATATTTTAAGTATCTACTGTCTAATATTAATACCTTTTTTCTTAATTTCTTAGACTTGTGACTATTTGAAACAAATTATAACACTGTATTGTAGGATTTATAATTTGTAGTTGTAAAATTTGTAAAACATGGAATAGAAAGATAAATGGAACTGTTCTGTAGCAAAGTTTTCATGTTTTATATTTAAGACAGTATAGTATTAAGTCTAAAGGTTGATTTGGTTGGTATGTTAAAGATTCATATTTTATTCCCTGCAGCAATCACTAAAAGATACAAAGAAGTATAACATAAACGCTAATAAAGGAATCAAATATAAACTATATATTTGCACAAGAATATATATCTTTTAGTCATAATAGCCCCAAACAAGAAACAACCTAAATGTCCATCAGTAAGAAAATGAACTAACTGTATAGCATTTAGAACAAAATACAGCTCAGGAATACAAAAAAATAAAAGCACACATCCTGGATAAAATTCATAAACGTGCTCAATGAGAGAAATGTTGGACGCAAAATTGTACTTTATGTATTTGTATATTTTATTATTTCAGACAAAATAATCCTATGGTGACAGAAATCAACACAGAGGTAATCTCTGCTTGAGAAAAAAAAATTACCTGGGACAAAAGACAAGTAAATTTTCTGAGGATGATAAAAGTATTGCTTTGAAAAGGGGTGAAGTTTATATGGGTCTATTTATTTGTCTAAAAGTTCCATTTAAGGTTTATGCCTTGCAACGTACGTACATCTTCACAAAAAATATCTTTAAAAAGTTAAGCAGGTGGGGGTAGGGAAGGGGTTGAAGTATAGATGAAGCAGAAGTGGTACATGTTTAGTAGCTGAAGTTGGGTGACAGATCTATCTCCCATTTTATTTTTATGTGTTAATAGCATTTGTATAAATGTACAATATTCATTTACAATGTTAGCTCAGGATCTTGTTTACCTTTGGACAGGGAGGGAGAGAGAAAGTTATTTTCTGGTCAGGAGTAAAGCTGGTTCCACTCCTCAGTTACATAAAGTCTCTGTTATAATCCATAAAGTTTTACGTGAATGTTTCTGTATGCATGCTGTATAGCAATAAAAAAGTCATTACATATTTGCGCAACAATCCTAGCTCACTATCTCAGAATATTGTCAGTGTTTTCTTTTGTCGTGAAGTGGAACACAATCTCTTATGGCATTATCAGATGGATTTGAATATTCTAAAGTATCAATGTGCTGATCTTTTGGACACCTCTTGGGTCTTTTCATTTTTGCCTTAATTTGGTAAGTGACGTGGTTTTGATTTTTTGAGATGAAACTTTTCCCAGCAAAGTCTTTTCCCCGCAGTGATGCTCTGAAGGCCAGGACACCTAGCACAGGACCCTGGGCACAGTCTGCACTCAGTACATGTGGAGGATGTTGATCAGGAACAAAAGGAGTAGCAAAGGTCAGTTCCTGCAAAAGATGAGTAGATTTAATACAGGTGTGACTGAAAGGCAGCAACTCAGGGGTAAACATTTTATATTTATTCAAGAGACAATTTGCAACTAGTACACCAAAAACATTTGGCTTAAAGCAGTACTTTG